ACATCATGAAGCGGCAACCAAGAAATCCGAAAACAGACAAGCTGGTCAACGAGCGCCTCATCAGCATGGCATACGGACAGATAGGTCTGCTATCCTGAACCCATAACCCCTTTCAACATCAGATCTTAAATCTAAATCACTTTGACAAGGACTTTATAGAGATAGTAAACATTTCACACAAAAAAAAACTTTTAATACTGACATGTATCATAAATTATGGCACCTGTAAATGTTTACGTAGGTGCATTTACAGAAAAAGATCCAGAGGGAAGCAGATGTTTCCTTGATTTTCTTGTAATTCTTGTGACATTTAAAGCTAACTGAGTGAGGTGAGTGCAGTTAATAGCACAACTTGAGCTTGATAACATTTTACTGGCTGGAGCCTTACTTAAACACGTCCTTCTTATCTCTGATTTTATTTGGTTTGGGAATAGTAAAAGATCAAAGGCTGGCCCAATTTCATAAGCCGTTAAATAGGGCAAAAATACGACAGGGCTTCATTTAAACTCAAACACATTCTGAACAGTCGACGACCATCAATTTTGAGCATTAATTCACATAGAATGAAAGTAGAACTGATCGCAAGATGCAGCAGATTGTAATTATAAAGGATTTCTAGCAAGTACAGAAGCAGAATTAGAAAAAAAAAAGGAACAGTATCACACATCTATTGAAGCAGGCTTAGGTCAGGCAGGTGTGATAAAATGTGCCAGTGCCAATTTAGTTATGGTTTAAGGCTCCTGTGGGCTCTTTATGGTTGTTTCCTGGTGGTAACACTATGTTATGGACATGTGCACTAGTTTGGTAGCAGAGCTGGTGTTATGAATCTATTGTCTTTTATGGATCCATGCATTGATTGTGGTGACATGTTATGGGTTAAGCATCAATGGAATAGACTGATATCCATTCCAGCATTTAGCATCCTTTGATTATCATTATTGGCAGGTTGAAAATCTGCATGGTGTGTTTTATCCTGCCCTGGTGTGATCAGTGAATGGGATTTATTAATGAGGCAGGGTTTGCTTGGATCTAGAGTCATTTTGGTGTGCCATGCAATATATTAGTTGTTGGTAGAGCTGGACAATTATTTGCATTTGCAAAATGAACACAGTTTTAAATCCTAGAGGCATTTAAATTGGTCACATTGCAATTAGGAGTAAGACACTGACTTTCTCTCTCCAGGTTGCCTTAATACATTGAAGGTGGGTTTGCCGCAGCACAAAAGTGAAGAGCGAGCTGCAGCCAGAATGCAGAACCATGCATGTGAATGGAAGGGATGAAATAAAATTGTGTTATTTATCCCCAAGGGGGGATTGAATCTCTAAAAGATAGATACATAAATAGATACAGAGAGAGATAAGTAGAAGAATATAATAGAAATAACCTCTTTTTCACACTAAGGTGATTCTGGGAAAGCTACAGTAGCTTTCAAGATAATGAAAACATTGAAACCCTGGAGTAAAACATCTACTTTTTGGTTTGTGCAATAAACTAAAAAGTAGAAAACAAAAAAAAACAAAAATATTGAATTTTTTGGCAAATTGTTGGATGTTTGCAGATCCTTACTTTGGCTACGGAAGGCAGGTTTTTAGTGTTGTGTTTTCAAGGTATACTGTGATTTCATTGGCGTTGTCTAGGATTGACCCATTGGGTCTTTTTCTCTGTTCAAAAGATGGACACATAAAGACCTGATACACATGCTGTGCATCAGGTCAAAGTTTTCCCCAATTTGTAGCATCTTAGGAGATTTCTCTTGCAGGCTTGGTGGAAGCATCCTTCCTTCCCTCCTGCTGTCAGACTGTTTCCTAATTTGCCGTGTCTGCTGGCCTTAGTCTTGTACGTCGCTTTTGCCGCTGTTTTGATTTACAGGTTTGGGATAATAAAGGGTTACAGATATCTGACGCTATGAGTGACCCATATTTATGATATCACTAGTCTAATTAATCAGACCTTTTGTACCTCAGTTACAAGCATCTAGCATACTGAGATGAGTTATGTGTATGGATAATGCCAGATTAATTAATCTTATTGTTGGGACCCTGCCGCAATATATAAGTAGCAGTACAATTAATCAGCAGGTGTGCAATTTATATGCACATACTGTACACATTATAACTGTGACACAGTTGATGTGCTTACATGCCATGGGCAGTATGTGGCTTGTAAGAACTGTGGCACAGATGAGGCAGAAATTTCTGTTTACCCAAGCTGTCAAAATCAAAGGCCACAAAAAGATTTAGAAAAAAATTATAACCAACTACATCTTGTTTTCACCCACAACCTTTATGTGCAGCAGTGAGTTTTTATTTGCCAACACACTGAACACAGATTAATAACCATCATCTCAACCCAGATGACAGAAATTCAGTCAGTTTGGCTTATATGGGGCTCGGAAATAAGATGTCAAGACGCCATGCTGTAAATCCAACCCTTTTTTTGACAGACCAAATTTACCAGCATTAAATTATGACAGCCTGTCTCCTAATATTGCAGTCATCAGCTGTCTGGAGCTTTTACTCCCTAAAAAAGGCAACATCTTAGAGGGCCAATGACAGAGCTGTTCACGTTTTTTACGGCCTATAAACATAAACTGCTTAGAGATCTTGGTCTCTTTATTTGGCAATGTTTGGCTTGTTTCTTTTCCTAAATGCTCCTTAATAACATCGCCTCAGTTGTTATACTGCGCTGTCATACGACAGATGGGAAATGATTTTCATGATTGTCTGGAGTGATTAATTGCTCAATATGGATCTGACTGTGACAAAGCAGCTTTTGTGAGTAAGGACTTTTCAAACTTTACGCAGTCTTTTTCATTGTGTATTGTCCTTTCCTATAATGATGTATGCATTTTTTTTATTTTTACATATTTAAAGACCTAACTGGCTCACTCAATTGCTCTAAGGTAATAATGTATATTACTTAAGTAGAAGTATAGATCCTACTGTTTTGTAGAAGTTAGAGTATTCATTTAAGCTTATTACTCAAGGAATGTGTAAAAGTATTTTTTTTGAAAACTACGTACTTAAAGTATAAAAGTAAAACTAATGAAGGAAAAAAATATTAAGGACAGATGCCTTATTCTAATTAATGCAATTGTCAGCGTGGGGGATGGAGGTTGCCTGAGGACCCGAATGAAGAGATGAGTGAGGCAGAGATGAGTTCTTGTAGGTTTAAGGAGGAAACTGAGGCAAACGTCCAAAAAAACATAAAAATACTGAGAACCTAAAAAGAAAAAATATTGAGAAAAAAAACAGCAAACATGAGGGAAAACTCACGTGGGAAACCAGAGACGAGGGAGCAACCAAACAACAAGGATCTGGCACTACAGAACTGCACAGGGAGAGTATATATGGGAGACAGAACAAAGACTTCAGCTGACATGGAGCAGGTCTGGATAGAAGTGACTAGAAGGGAGCTAGGGGGAAAGCAGACAGGCTCAAGGGGCAACAGAGAATAACTAAAAACTGGCTTAAATGTAACACAAAATGGAAAATAAACCGAAAATCAACAAAACAGACTTACTTAGAGTGAAAACTGAAAATTCTAAGTCGCAAAAGGGGAGAAGAAAACAGCACTACCCTATTAAAGGAATATTTTTCTACAATTCTGGATGAAAACTTCCTTGACTTACAATTAACTAATTATAAAAGTGTCAAAATTAACTTTGCATCATCTTAAAAAGCAATTTATTTTTTGTATGTAGCGAACAACAAGTTGGTGCAGTATCGAGTCTTATCACAAAGAAATTAATTATCTGGATGAAACAAATTATTTTCATGGTTTTTATTTTTTTCAAATACCAATAGGCCATAATGAAAATGAACTGAAATAAAACAAAGCTAATGAGTCTATTTTTAAAATGTAAGGAGTAGAAAATAGAGAGTAAGTTTGCTCACTCAACAAACATATCAGTCAATTCTCCTATAAGACAAGCTAGCTAGCTAGCTAGCTAGCTTGTCTTCTATCTATCTATCTATCTATCTATCTATCTATCTATCTATCTATCTATCTATCTATCTATCTATCTATCTTAGCTGTGGAAAATGACATGTTCAAGCACAAGAGGGTAATTTAAACACATATTGCAAGTGACAGGTAAAAAAAAAGGTGATAAGTGTATGTTTGTATTGTGTTTTTGTTCCTTCCATACTAAGCATGGAGAACAGAAAGCAGAGAATAGAAGATAAAGTCAGGGGATTTGAGAATAAAGTTTGTAGTAAAAGAGAAACAACATAGAGGATTCAATTTTTTTTCTCCAGAGGTCAGTTGTTCACAGTGCACATCATAATTAAGACATTTACAACCCCATAGCACTAGAGCTAACCTCCCTGGCGTGGATGGAAATGAAAAAAATATGAAATGTTTCAACACAGGAAAGTCCAAATGATGGATATCTATCCCCAAACAACTTCTAAGAAAATATGAGCTGTCCTTCAATCCTACCGCGAACTATCCACTGACGTTTAAATCAGAGAAAATCCTATAACTGCTTATTCAGAGCCATAAAAGAGCTACCCTGCAGTTTGACAGTTTGCCAAAACCTAAATCTTTTCCTGGGAAAATGTCAAGTGGAGAGGTGAGACATAGACTGGTAGAGAATTTTAAGTAAAGCATGTTATTTTACCATTTACCGAAAACAGAATTAAGCCTATAAAAAACAGAAAACTGTACATAAAGTGAAATATGGTGGAGGTTCGTTCAAAGATGGCTCTGTCACTGGTTGTTTGGACTGTAAAGCATTGTAAAATCTAAAGATTACCATAAGACTTGCAAAAGACGAAATGTGGGGCCCAGCCTGAAGTAGTAAATTTACTACTTTGATCCGTGGCCTTAATTGTTTACCAGTCATGTTGATAGTGAGATGATGAGAATAGCATTATTTATTCATTAGAGTAGAGTTGCTTGTAACTGACAGATAAAGTCTCTTTTTCCAGACAGAAACTTTATTTTTTGACTTCAGCAAGCATTTCCAGCTTAGAACGGCTATGATGAACCTGCCAGGCTCTTTCCTTGAGTGCAATCAATGCATGATGAACGCCCGCCCACATTATGGCTCCTCGTCCAATAGGGGCCATGTATGCCCTCATCTCAAGTAAATAGATCATTAATCTGTTAATAAAAAACTAACACAGATACTGACTTAACAGACTGTTATGATGTAATGTCGTCACAACAGACACTAACTAGTTCACTAACTAGTTTAGTTTAGATAGAATTTAATTATTGTTTTGGAGACATTGTGACGATGTGATGCTTATATTTTCTTCATCAGAAATTTGAAGTTTACTTCTCTTATATTTTCCTTACTGTATGTGGGGGTAAAATAATTCAGGTTTAAAATCAACTTCTTTTTTTTTATAGTTGTGGGTTTGAAGTTTCTGATTGTTTCTCTGAATACAGATATCAGTTGCATTACGTGCATCACTGATTTGTTGTAGTAATTTCCTTATTCGTGGCGATCAACACACATTAAGCCTATTTACTGTGTCATGTATTGTTTCCTGTCTCTCTCCTCTTGGAAAGTCACTTATTCACATAGTCACATGTGTCACCTTATATTTATATGAGAAGGAAACAGCAGATCATGAATTACTGATTAAATGTACTATTTCAATATGTGAAATGCTGAACTTACAAATTGACCACGTTTAGGGGGGGCAAAGAATTCAGTTTTAGCATGGGATTTTTTAATCTTATCCAAATCAAGGCACGTAAATTAAGTGGTTCTATCAAGAAATCATTTTCCAGGGATATAATTTGAGTATTTCTGCCCCATGTCTTTTGACTCCTTTGTCCAATAGTCAAAGCAAAGAAGTGTGAGAAAAAAAAAACTATGAGACATTAATTGAAACTGAAATTTAGTTCTGCAGCATGATTAATGGATAACTCATACCTCCATCCAACGTTGTTCAAATGTTTGAATCGTTTCACTAAGCTGCATTTACTGCATTTATATATATATCAATGAATAAAGATCATGAGTAATTGTTACAGAATTGTTACAGAAAACTTGGTAATGTTTCAGTCTGCGAGCTTACATTATATTGTCAGGTTGTAATAGATATTATATGCTGTAACTAGCAAAGAGTCTGCCTCCAGATTATCTTTAACGTTAAGATTTTTTAAGGGCAAAAAAAGGCTCCAATACCATAATTTCATTTTCCGCATAATAAGTAATCAATTCTTTTCACTTGTGAGGTGGAATAGAACATGGAATTGAAAATGTTACTTGAATAGATTCATGTGAAAACATCGTTTTCTCTACTTATCTGAATCAACTTTAAGTGTTGCATCAGTGGCATTCTGACCTTTACCTAAAAACTGTATTATATTCCTTTTCTTCTAAGCTCCCTTTTAGTTTTATAAACCAAAATGTGCCAACAGTCTTGAATAGGTTGACTATTCAGCTACTAGTAAACGGTTTTCTACAAGCCACACAGGAGAGCCAGCAAAGACTTAAGGAGGTGCAGATGATACATACATTGAACTCTTTTTACTTGCATTAAATGCCTTGTGGGATAGAAGAATAACTGCATGATGCCCTGAATGCACCATTGTATTGAACCGTAATGATTCCATCCTGCTTTGTGGACAGCTTTTTTCCCAGCTAGTTGTGTGAAGCTGGTTGAGCTTAATTGTTAGGTGAATAGGGCTAAATTAAGGGAAGGCGGTCAGAGGCTTCAAAATCCTAAGGATGTTTAAGATACATACTCTATCCATATAGCCAGATGAACAGTAGTGTGATTTAGATCAATGCATATTTATGTTTATTATTATTATGACCAAATCAAATATAGTTCTAGCAGGACACACTCTATCCCTTCTTTGTAACTGGGATTGAGCTATTTTGCAAAAACAAACAGGGAGGAAATGTTATTCTATAAATGTAGCAAGCTGTTAGAGGCAAACCTCAAAAGGCCTGGAGCTGCAATCACTGTTTGAAGGGATTCTGTAGCCCCCACACTCCAGCCTTTTTTCTCACTAAAGACAGGGAACTTATATTTCATTCTGTTTCACAATAATTTACTACCTTGTGTTGGTCTGTCACATTTAATCCTGATAATATACACGCAAGAATGAGATTTCAGCGTGATAAATAGTGAAAACAAATCAAGAGTTTGGGAGTACTGCATCACTACTATGTCCTTTGCAGAGGTGGGTTTAATACCCAAAAATTGTGCTCAAGTAAGAGGAACACTAATATTTTTTTACTGAAGTAAAAGTAAAAATAGTCATCCAGGAAATGACTCAAGACGAAAAACTACTTGGGTACTGAGTAGCTGTTGGATAATAACATTGGATTTAATGTTTATAAATGATGATGGGAAAAGGAATGAATTTGCAAGTTCTAGCATTATAAAGACTCCAATGGCTAAAGAACAAAAATAGTGCAGAAGAAATACTTTTACCAACTTCTTTAGTTTCAACATAAAATTTAGAACACCGATTCTTACAATGAGAACTGTATCATGTTAGGACACTATAACAAATTTCCAAGGTTAATATCTACCGTTTACTGCATTATTTGGAAATAGTTCAAATTACTCACAGAGGACAGAGTAATCCAAGGTTTTAATCAAGTAGGAGAAGCCATACTTTACACTTCAATTCATTTTATTTATATAGCGCCAATTCCCAACATGTCATCTCATAGCACTTTACAGAGACAATTCTACCAGATCCTACAGTTCAAAAATATTACCAAGTAAAAATAAAAAGTACGGCACAGTAAGTACACTCCTAAAAGTAATAAAAAAAAAACTTGTTACTCAAGTAATTTTAACTAATTACCACCTCTGCTCCTTTGTGCAGATCAAACAAGTTCTGGACTTTGATCTTAACTGTCCTTCTAAACCACTAAATGTAAAATACATTTCTGCAATTTTTTCCAGAAGAAATAAATGATCTTAATACCTGACATACTTGTGAGAAACTCTGAGACAATCAAATTAATCATGATGAATCATGTTTGGAGCATCTAATAGACAATAAATGAATTTTCTACGCTGATATGACATGACATTTGTCTTTATTTTCTTTACATTAAGAGCCTTTTCCATGTGGTAAAGGGGCATTAAACACAGATTTTCACTTGCAAAATGATCACATGAAGCCAGAAAATGAAGTTTATGTTGAAGAATGTTGTATAGCTTTAGCTCGTTTTGACTCAAATACATATTAATGTCTGTTTTATGCCTTATTAGCGAACATGTTTGTGGTTAATCTTCCCTCTAGGTATGATGCAGGCTCTCGCTGGTTTTTTCACTTACTTTGTGATTTTGGCTGAAAACGGCTTCCACCCAAAAGACCTGCTGGGCATTCGCATCAACTGGGATGACCGTGAATTTAATGACCTGGAGGACAGCTATGGGCAGCAGTGGGTAAGGAACGGAAGCACAGAGTGACCGCCGTGAGTCTATGAATATGCAGATTCCAATGCAAAAGCTAAAAAACATACATTTCTAACCTTGCAGACTTATGAACAGAGGAAGATTATTGAATTCACCTGCCACACATCCTTCTTTGTCAGCATTGTGGTTGTCCAGTGGGCTGATCTCATTATCTGCAAGACCAGGAGGAATTCCCTCTTCCAACAAGGCATGAAGTAAGTAATCAACACAGAATGTATGTATTTATAATTAGTAATGAAGGAAACAGAGCATGTCAACCATTCAACTGCATAAATAAATACATAAAATTGATTCAGTCAACTTTTAGAAATCCATGTTTTCAGCGTTTTTTCCGCACGCTCATACAGAGACAATATTAATATCACTATTGCTATTATTATTGATAGTGATGCTTTATTTATTGCATTTTTTATCTTAATGATTTAAAGTGCATTTGAAGATTCATAGTATAAAAAAACATGTTGATAAAGTGAGGATTAATACATAAAAAAAAGAATCATGATATGTGAAAGCTCGGGTTATGCAGACTTCTAATTGTCCTGTTATGTTCTGAATACCGTATAAATCTTGGCTTGTCTCTAACCCGTTTTCCAATTTATGTTGAACAGGAACAGGATCCTGATCTTTGGCCTGTTTGTAGAGACAGCCCTGGCTGCCTTCCTCTCTTACTGCCCTGGAATGGACGTGGCCCTGCGCATGTACCCCTTGAAGTATGCACCATATATGCACATCTCCACTGAACCGAAAAATAACCATTGAAGACCTAATAGCCTGCCATTAGCCTGTCACTCTCAACTTCAAATGAAGTCTCTGATTTCCTTAAATGCCACCTTGTTAGCCCCTAATATTCAGAAATGACTGCAGTGAGCTTAACAATTTGCACTCTGCCTGTGACTCTTCCATTTGCATATGCCTTCTTCCACATGAATCTGTGTTTCCTGTTGCTCTCAGGATCCTCTGGTGGTTCTGTGCCTTCCCGTACAGCCTGCTCATATTTGTTTATGATGAAGTCCGTAAATACATTCTTCGGAGGAGCCCAGGAGGTACGTAGTTTTAACGACGGACAGGTTTTCAGTGGTTTCACATCCTTTTCAAAATAAGCACATTTCCAGCAAAACCTAATGCTTTGTTGTTCATCTCTCAACCCAACTGTGTTAAAAAAGTAAATAATGAGACATCCCACCCTGTTATATTTTAATAATATTCTCTCTTCTGCATTTAAATCCAGAGTCAACGCTTACAAAGCAGCTCTGCAACAGATCGTATTATCTGCTTTGCAGATTGAAAACTACTCTCTAAAGGAGGTTGTTAAACAGGCACAACACTTTGTAATAAGTATATTTGAAACCAATAATCCAATTTTTAAAAACGTATATATACAACGGTAAGCATATGGGAGGACAGAAAAGGCATATGGTTACGCCAGAAGACACTTTGAGCTGATTTTAAAATTCTTCTACTTTCAGCTGGATGGTGTGAAACGTTCCAGGAAAAACAGGCATAACTATAAAACAAAGTGAAGAGAAATGCAGAAATATACAGGTGGCAGCTATGCCAGCTTACATCACACTCACATTAAACTGCAACTAAAATTGGCAATTATTGACTGCACCTTCTTTATACATATATCTGTTTAAAAAACAACTAAATTAACCAAAAAAAAAGGAAAACGTTACAATTATAATGTGAAAAAAATCCATCATTTGATTTAAGTATTTGTATGCTGTGGGAAGCAAAGTAAATTTTTTGGAAAAAACAAACCCCTAATAGAGGGGTGTTTATATGACTTACTTCTGAAGAAGGAGGTGGTAGTCATATTCATTTATCTGTTTTTGTGTTTATATAATCAGAGAATTTAGGTCATTTTTCTATGCCCTCATAGTTCATACTGCTGGAAAATGTTCCATGGCTCTTAAGGGCTGGTTATCCTCCTGCAGCAGTGTGTCATAGTTAGCTTGTCACAGGTATTTTTGATTTATGCCCAATTCTAAAGCGTGGTCTGCGATATGTTATTCCATGCCACAACGCAGGAGGGACAATCAGGAACTAGCTGTGGGTCTAAATACGGCTGAGGCAGCGAGGAAGTGGAAAAATGCAAGGGGCAAGTTTGTGCAATGACGAAGGGGCATGAGGGCAAAAAAGATTGGGGATCCAGGTGGAAAAAGGGTCCCAGCGTTCTCTCGCACCTCACTCTTCTAGCTGGTCCAACTTCATGAGTTGTTTTCCACAATGGCGGTCATCAAACAAAGCAAGCCAGTAAGGTAACAAACAGGAAATATGGACAATGTAGAGCGGATGTAGATTTGACCAATCAGAGGCCTCCTGTCTGCGGCACTGTCTGCGGTCATCTATAACTATCGAGGGGTGCAGCAGAGTGTCTGCGGAAGGGGTGGGGGCACATCTGCGTTTAACTGTGAGGTCAATAGATCATTTCCTGTAGATCATTTCCTGGCCCCTGTTAAGGCCCCTGTACTGAAGACGTAATAATCAGAGAAATTCTAATGATGATATGCGCTGGAAAATACATGGTTAATGATAGGTCCTTTTGATCTATTTAAATTTTTTCTTCATAAATTCTGTTTTACTAATTATTTAAAAACAATAAGATGCTACCTTCAGTGGTATAGGATGGTATGGTATGGTGTAGGATCCCAGTTTTTATCTGCTAAATGTTTTTTTCAAAACAAATAAAAAGAATGCTCTAATTCTCGCAGCTGAATTTACTCGGTTATCCTTGATTTCTAATTAGAAAATTAATTAGAAAACGGCAAATTTTAACTTAAATTAAGTCAAAAATATGTAAAATTCCTAAATTATGAATGAATCCTGACCCAATAAGACATAGAATTTTAATTAAACCTAATTGAATAGAAATTTCACTTTATCTTAATATATTTGAATCCCTTGCCCTGTTTTTTATTTCATGCTTTTCTGTGCCCCCACAAAAACATGCTGGCCCCCTCCTGGCCCTGTGGTACATTTGGTTGAGAACTGGCTCCGTGTGACACAGACACAGACGACCTGGTTTCTGAGTATAAATCCGCCTTTAGTCTTTAGTGCAGGCCCAGGGCATTATAGATCCTTTTCCATACCTTATCATGCATTTCAATATATACCTGCTGTGTGGGAAGCAAGGCAGCTCCGTTTTAGTGTCACCGTCTTAAACCATACAATTCCATTCCCAGCACCAGCAGCATTAATCACCTCTGTTTGATGGTACTAAAACCCTTTTTACAGAATCACTGGTTGACATGTAAACAGTCTAGTGGATTTTTTTCAACCTCCTTTACCATATTGCTCAGAGTCTGTATGACAGGATTCATTATTGGTCTCCATCCAGCCTTGACTTTTCTGTTTTTCAGTCGTTTCAAACTTCCTCTCTGCAGATATGGACATAAGCAGCTATATTCCTGTAGACATTTTCTACCTTTTAAAGATCAACACTCATCTAACCTATTTAAATGTCATGCTATCATGTCCTTCCCATTTTAAAGACTCCAAATTAATGAAGTGATCTCTGGGTCCTTTCAAATTCACACGTCAGAGACAAAGGAAACCTTTAACCATTAAATAAACTTTAAGCGACTTAAAATTGGAAAATATCCATTAAAAAAACTTTACTTACTTTGATGTCATACTGATGTGGAGGCTGTTATCAGGATGAAACCAAAAAAAAAAGCCAAAAAAAGAATGACTTCTAAAGATGAGATTTTTCCTCACTAAACAAACATCCTTAAATGAATGTCTGATTATTTCAATATGAGATTATCCTCTGGTAAGATAGATAAATTTGTCATTTCTTTACATATCTATACCTAATAAGTGCAAAGGTCCTATATCTTGGATTCAATGTGTTAAATTGCTTATTACATTTTCTGACTTGTTATATATTTTTTTATTCTGAACATAAATACGAAAGCTTTCATTTTATCACCCCTCCTGTCAAATTCATCTGATTTAAAAACCATCACTTGTCTTTACCTACCAGAGTGGTTGTAGTTTAACAGCTCGGGGAAAACACAAAGCTCCATACAAAATGCAGATATGTAAATGCTCATAAATGTGCCAAGCTATGATTTAACATGGGGAAAGGGTATTATTCTTTGCTGAATTATCAAGTACTTTCTGCTCATTTTATGGTGATTTCATTTCAGGGAGACAGAATATCAAAGAAATCTGAGAGAAAACATCATATGCAAGTTACTAAGATTTGCATGCCACTGACTGAAGAAGTATTTTATTTCTCCTTCGTTTTAGACTTAAAACTTTGTAAATAAACTTCAGCTGGCATGCACAACCCTCAAACTTTTTCTGTAGCTGGTCACCATGTTTTTTATGTATCTCAGGAGGGATTTAAAAAGAAAAAAAACAGAAACTCTCTAAAACCTTCAGGTTACTGGGCTGCTTTTTGACAACCAGAGGTTTCAGCTCCCTTCTTTAATTTTCAGATGATTTTTTTTGTCCCCCAGCTGAATATACCCAGCCACTCCATAACTATAGCATATTTCTTCTTTAGCTACATCCCAGCATTGTATTTTGACTTACTTTCATGTTAGAACACTGATCCATGACCCGTCTTTGGTGTTCTCCTAGATTTCACCATAAATCCCCCTCCACCTCTGTGTTTGTCAGTGGGTATGGCGTTCTTTGGGTCATATTCACTCCCTTCCTCCAACATGGTGGGTTGAGATGATAAAAAAAGATCTTCACTTTAATCTCATGCCACCACAGCAGATTTCTCCCGAGCCTCCTCTGAATCATTTAGAAGTTCTCTGGGAAACCAAAGAGGGGTCTCTACGTGCATAAACTTTATAAGTAAGCTAAGAGATTTCACCCCATTACATTATAGTGATTTACTGCAGGTGATCTTGGTGACTGTGGTCCTATTTTATTTCAGATCATTATAAAGCTCTTGCTGTATAGCAGTGAGGTAATCTCTCTCCTTTATCAGGATCATTTTCACCCCATTCTTACCTTCTTTGAAGCTCCAGAGCGAGTATGACTGATGGTCTTTTCATATTTCTTCAATTCCCCCAAATCGTTCCAAAAGCTTTAGCTGATCGTCTCAGAGCCATGCAGTATTGTGCAGATGTATTATCTTCTGTCTGAGATCCTTTGACAGCTCTCAGATCTGTTGATGGCAGGGGAGAGGTTTGAAATAAACAAAATGATTCTGGGTGTGATAACTCCGGTTTTATTACTAATAAATATACTATTCCTTTGCTGACATGCAGACCGGTTTCCAACTTTTGTGAAGTTTTTTTTTTTTTTCTCCGCAGATTTTTGTTGACACTCTCCCTTAATCAAAATGAAAACCCGTTATAATAATAATAATAATAATCTTTTTTAACTAAGCAATCCTAAAAATAAGCATGGGCTCAAATTTTTATCTGCAGCACTGAATTTGTCCTTTTTTCTGTTGGTTTCTAAAATTGGAACAAGTCTGCAATCAATCAACTCTGCAATCTGTTCATGTTTTATTGTTTAAACTTTGAACCAGAATGAATAAAAACTTTTTTCAGAATTCATTCATGAATTGCTGAGAAGTTAGTTACATTAATCAATGTCAACTGGTCCAAATAAAAAAATGATGAATCGGTTGCAGCTGTCTTATTGAAAATTCCCATCATGTGCATAAAGCAAAGGGAATAACCAAACTTTATTCCCAGATGTGAATGAATGGTTTCTTTGTTAGTTTTAGGATCCAATTGTAAAACAGGATTTGAACTCATTTTCCATTTGAAAGTTCATGCTAATCTAAGCTGGAAAAAGAAAATAATAATAAACTATAGGCCAAACGCTGGGTAATGCAGCTGAAAACTATCTGACATCTAGCAGAATGCCATCCATTCAATACTGAACAATTCTCAGGCTTTGAAAGCTGCTGCCTCTGCAACACTTGAATGATTACTGTTTGTCTCCCCGGTTTGATTTCTAACAAAGCAGCATATAAATGTACTGCTTTCAGGGCAGTTTGCTCAGGAATTTTTATTTAATAAATGAAGCATAAAATAATGACTTCCAAACAACAAAATCTCTGACGATGAAATTTAAATATCCACGTTCCAGTTGAAATTTAATTAGATCAGAAACCTGAGCCAACTATTGTCTATGCACCATATTTTCACAGGATTTTCAAGCAACTTTTTTAGTCTACAGTTGCATCTTTGCGATAAACAAAGGAAAAAAGAAAAGAAAAAAAAACAAGCAGATCTTTTCTGCTGACATCTTGAGCTGAATGCAGACTTTTCAAAGGAAACTTGGTCCTGTTTTTTTTTTTTTTACCTCTTACACTTTTCCATCTATCAAAGGTTGCAGAATGCTGACCCTTGCCCTGCTATGTCCCCGGTCATTAAGGCTTTTTGATGGATGTCAAGGCTTTTGGGCAAGGCAGAAATCATATCAGTTCCACTTTGTTTGCCTTGAGAAACTGAAGAATGCATGTTTTGCCCTCAGAGGTTTGCCTACCACTATACGGTTCCGGGGAGAAGACCAGAAGTGTCAAATTATATTTGGTCTTTTGGCTATTTACTTGAAATATTCCTTTTCTTGAGTACAGAATTGATCAAAATGTGATGTGAAAGAGTTAGAAAAACAAGAACTGGGTGTGTAACTTTGAAGCTATAATAGATTTTCTCTACATATATACTGTTGAGTCCAAAAGTATTCATACTCTTGGAACATTCAGACAAAAATGTAATGAGCCTGACAAGTTTTTAGTACGTTTAAGACGTTTGACTGCAGATTTTCTTTGGTGACAAAGCATTTACAACTGGATGAGCTCCTTCACCATCACCCTAATCTCTAGCTTCCTCTATCAGATTCTTTACTTAAATCTGGCCCCTCCAAAATGCCTGTATTTTGATACACTGCTGTATTTTAAAGCTAAATGTGGGCATACACTGTACGAGTTTTTCAATAGTTGCATGCATCTAGAGCTCACACTGTAGGATGACACCAAAGGGTTTCAGCGTGCAGTGTGAGTTCACAGCTCACCATGTATGTTCTCACACTGTGCGGCCCGATG